CTACATCACACACACTTGAAGCCTGAAAGGCAGCACTCACAAGTAGGTATTTAATACAGTATGAAATACAGACAATCGGCCTCATAACACTTTTGTAAAATGCGACAGAACAACAGCTGAGCCCAAGGTCACGTGTAAGAGGCTATTTAATACAAGTTCGGGGGGGAGGAAGGGCCCTGCTTATAATTCCCAGGGTTTCATACCAGAGCAAGCAGGTTCATTCTTCACACCTCATTTATAGCAACCAGAAGAGGCGAGAAAAACGGGAATTCACAAGAACCGTATTCTTTCCATTTCATTAGTCTCAGGCATCCTTACTCCACTCCCTCATAGGCACAGAACACTTCACATCCATTTTCAAGTCCAAGACTTGTTGACAGAATTTTTCGCTTGCTAGGCCAGCACTGGCTCAACACACATTTAATCTCCATCTCTGTGCTTTCTTCTCAAGTTGAGCTGCATTTCAGGGGGTGGAAACGGTTACCCCGGTATTTCTTTTTGAACTGATACACGAGGGAGCACTGTAATTATTCCAATATCATCTCACAAAAGTTAAGTAATTTCAACCTTGCTCTAGCCGTGTCTTAATTTCCTAATTAAAGTTTGTTGGTGGAGAATCTAAAAAGTCTCACCAGACTAGGACTCCAGAAAACTAGGACATGTGCGCTATCAGCGCAACTATTCATTAAGTCGTCGCCGCCCGAGGAAATAAACTTTATCTTAAAGGGTTTCATACCAGAAACAAACACTCTACCTGCTTGGTAATGGTCACCTGCCCCTGCCACTTCATAGACAGTCTCTGGTTCATATTCTGCCTCTCGCTGACTCACTGCTTCTTGGTAGTCCGACTCTGCAGCTTTGTAGCCGGACTCTGGCTCGCGGGCAGCTGAATAGGTTGTGCTGGAATTCTTGTAGGCAGAGTCTGCTTCGTAGGAAACTGCATCCTGCAGGAACAGGGGTGAAGAGTGTCAGGGCTTTGTACAAAGGTTCCTGCGCTTAGGAGCGAAAACCAGGTTCTGAAAGTGATTGTAGCAAACCTCATAGACTGGGCTTGAGGGGGCCTTCTGCTCAGCCGGCTGCGCGGCAGGAGACGGCGGTGGGGTTTGTTTTTTGGCTTTAGCTTGTTCCTAAATGGAAGAGAAAGAAAAACTTCAGTGCCGTTTGATCACTGATGTCACGACAGGGAACAAGGAACAACCCTCCAATAACAAAGACAGGCAGCATATTCCGCAATAAACCGACGCGAGCAGGGAGCAGAGAGGACTGGACTGGCTGGACCATTAGACCTGACTGAAGGTTTAGACTGGCCGTACAGCAAAGCCTCAGAAATACAGCAAAGCAGAAGAGGAAAAAAAGTGAAGAAACAAAAACCACACAGTAAGTATGCATACATGTGTTTAAAAACAGAGTACTCAATGTTCTTTGGCATGTTTCCACAGGAGCTGCAGGGTTTCTGTGTTCAACATATTCATTCTATTCACTAGCTGCCTGGGCCTCATGTCCCACTTTAGCATGAGTTTATAAAACCTGAAGCCTGCATGTCCTAATTATACAGCTGATACATTACCTTTGACGAGAAATGATCCTGCAAGCTCTTGCAGGTCTGCAAAACATCTGCCAAGGCAAAAGACTGCATAGTTCGGACAAAATTAAGTCCTATATACTGACAACGAGGGGATTCAAACATGCAAGAGTTATATGAGGTAGAAATAAAAGCAGTATGGCTATTGTATTCCGTGACACAAAGAACGTGGATCTGAATCAAGTGTTCTGACACTCGAGCACTTCACGCTGTGCCATCCCACCTGTGAATCAGAGGGCAAATCCACAATCATCACTAGAAAGCCATTCATTGGGAAGCCGGGATACTGTAAGCGCAAGAAATGCTACACTGCTTGCATGACTTAAAGAAAAAAAAAAAGTCGACAAAAAAAGACTGCAAGCTAGCTATTTCATTTTGCCTCTATTTACTACAGGGAAAAAGAAAACCGTGGATCTAGGGCCAAACTTTCTTCTTCACTGTAGAAAAAAGAAGAGCAAATACATGTCATGGGAGACTGTGCACTCGAGTTGTTTGGGTCCATCAAGCTGTAACTCCCCAAAGGATCCTCAGGAGAAACTATATGTAGTCCAGAGATGAAGTGATAGGACTCTTACAAAAAATTCTTCCTTTCCTTTGTTTGCCACAGCTCAGAAAAAAATACATCTAACAACGAAAGCAAAGCGTGTCTTGAGAACAGAGCCAGCTTTGAAGACAATTCAAAGCTTAGCGCTGTGCTTTCTGGAAAAAAGCCGTCCAATGCAAACAGTCCTCCCTGACTTTTAGCTCCTGTGCTACAGGCAAAAAAGCACCTGCAAAGTCTTCATTAGAAGTCAGATCTAAGTTTGAGGACAAATGAAGTAGCATCAACCCATTAACAGTGTCAAACGTGGCAACAGTTTGACCAATTTGTCCTAGGAAACAGGTCTCCACAATCCAGACTGCAGCCTAGGATAGCCACAGCATAATGGCCATAAAATATCTAAATTGCATGGCCCCCCCTCAGGCTGGGTTTCTTCCACAGGGAAACATTCCATGTGAAAGAGCACCCTGCCTCGTTCTGTAAGGCAGCAGAGGCTGGGTAAGGCATGAGGCACCCATCGATTCAAGCCGTCAGTTAAAGAAGAGCTCCCTGAACACCATTTGACTACGTGACATGTGTGAAAAGCAAAACAGAAGAAGGATTATCAGTAAACAAGGCTCTCGAAGGAGTGCAGTCCATATGTACATCCCCATTGTGGGAGTACCTATGCCCACGTACTTACTTAAAACGAGAGAACTTTCTGTCTGTGCAAGGAAGTTGGCTTAAAGAAACAGAGTTCACTCAAGTCAAAGTCCATCCCCACCCTTGACAGTACCTCTGGATGGTGGGGCTTACATCCCTCCCCTTTTCGTGCTCATGTGAGCAACAGGCAGTGCAGCCAGCGCCACTTCAGTTTCCCCTTAACCTTGTCCTCCCTCCCTCAGTGTCTGCAGAATCACACAATTAACCATGGAGATGTTCAGACTGGGAGAACATTTATCATCTGGTTATGGTGAAATATAAATACCAGCTTGGGAATAAAACTTCAAATGTGTCCAGGCAACAGAATCTTTGATGAAGCACAAGAAAAATCAAGCATAATGGCTTGAATTTAACCCACACTTACAGCAAAAAAGAACAGTAAAGAAAGAAAGTCACTTTTGAGACAGAAAGCGGGGGGCGGGGGAAAAGACGTAGTTCAATGACTCATGAGAACCTGTGTTACTACATTTAAACCTTTCTGGAGAACTGTTTCCTCAGCAGGAGGAAACCTCAATGAAAAGCTGAAACGGTTACAAAAGCCTAAACTCACCACCCTCCATCCACAGATCTTACTTACGAGCACATGATCACCCAAAACGACTGGCAAGAGAGCTAAGGGAGAAGCTGAACTTCTTCCCCTACTCAGCCCAGACCACAAATCGATGCAACAGAAGGGAATCGGAAGCAGAAAGCCCGGCTACTTTGGCAAGATACATATGTCATCTCCTCCTTACTGTTCAAAATAAAAATGGCTCCAACTGGGTTGGAATAGGAACAGTCTAATGAAGAGCCGTTCCGCATCTGCAGCATGAAGTGGATTGTTTCAAGATTGAGAGGAGTGAGACAGACAAACCGTTATACAGGTCAGACTGAGAGAACTAAAGAAGCCACTGAAAGGCAAAGAAGGCCCAGGACCAACGTGCATAAGGACTGTGAAAGCCAACAGGAGGATGTCCTGCCTTACCCTAACCACAGCGCTCGGCAGCGGAGGCACCTGGAGAAACCCATGCACCAGCCTACCTGGCCAGTCTTAGGGTTGTACCCAAGACCAAGCCTGGACACAAACCTTCTCTGAAAAAGAAGCACCAATACTTTCTGTGTCAGCTGCACAACCTTTCAAAAAAATTCACATGGCCACGAAAGCAAGTACCTCCTTGCATGCTGAGGAACATCAGCCTGCTTGTAGCAAAGGTGCAGAGCAAACAACATATATAAAGTATAGAAAAAATCAGTATGAGGTATCAGAATTGCCACATACCCTAGGAGAGAGACACTTCCATGAGGCAGTTGCCGAAGAGATGAAGCAGTGAGTTCAGGATAAAGAATCCTGGGATCCTGCAACAAGAGAACTCTCACCATCGGAGAGCTGGTAACTGCTCTGTGATAACAAGCCAAGTTTTTTACTTCAGAACACTCATTTTACGACCCAGGCATTCAAGGATGGACTGCATGGTTTACAGGGACTGGTCTTTTGTAGAATCCCCCAGAAACAACCAAATCAAAGTAAGTAAGTAACAGTCCTCAGCTGAAGAGTGTTTCCTAGCAAGAACCATCAGCATCTTGAAGATGACCTAAGAAGCCTCAGACAGGTTAACTGAGAAGTCCTAAAACCACGAGACACCTTGTCTGAGAACGAAGCAGAAGTAGCGATGATGGAAAGGAGTTACTGCCAGGTGAAAACAGGCACCTCAGAGAGAAAAAAATGAAAGAGCAGGATGAATGCTGAGAATGTCCATTTTCCTTTGCTTTTGAGACTTCTTAGCAATCCTCAGGAGTAACTGGAAGCAAGGGCTGTCCAAAGTGATCTCAGGGGTGCAGAATGACCTTATTAACAATGAAACACTTCAGATATCCATCCACCTATGTCATGGTTCTTCCTTATCTGGAGAACTGTATAAGTATCTACCAAGGCTGTAAGAGTTGGGGTTGTTCAGCCTGGAAAAGAGAAGGCTCTGATGAGACCTTACTGTGGCCTTTCAGTACTTAAAGGGGGCCTGTAAGAAAGAGGGGGGCCTGCTGCGATACGACAAGGAGTAATGGTTTTAAACTAAAAGAGGACAGATTGAGGCTAGATATAAGGAAGAAAGTTTTTACAATGAGGGTGGTGAGAAACACTGGCACAGGCTGCCCAGAGAGGTGGTAGATGTCCCATCCCTGGAAACACTCAAGGTCAGGTTGGACGGGGCTCTGAGCAACCTGATCTAGGTGAAGATGTCCCTGCTCACTGCAGGGGGGCTGGACTAGATGGCCTCTAATGGTCCCTGCCAACCCAAACTATTCTCTGATTCTATGAAATTAAATCCTGCAAAGATAACAATGCTGCTTGCCAGCAGTCACAAGTCCTAACACCATCCAGATCCAATGCGCTGACAGAAGAAAACAAGTGCCAAGAAAAGGCACTTCTCCTGAAAATGGAGTGAAGCTGCACTTCCAAGAGCAATGTACACCTCAAGGGTTTCTCCGGGTTGTGTCCAAAAAGAGTATTCGTTCCCATCACCCCATGGAATAGTCCCCAGAGTGGAGGGACTAGAGCTCTTTGACTAGAGTTGCAGTGTTGGTGGCAAGGACAAGGACTGGGGAGGACGAGGTGTGAAAAATCACTTTGTTAGGGTAACAACTAGGTGCTAGACCTAGATACTGGTGATGCATCAGCTTAAACACACTGAAACATGCTGGGAACAGTGGGCACTAGTTCAGGAGCAGGGGACAGCCTGGCAATAGCTAGAGGAGCTATGGGGTTACCAGCCGAACAGCTACACCAGAAGAAGGTGGTGACACATGCTGATAGCATTTTGCTGTGGCTCTGAGTGAGCCAGCGTTGAGGCATTCCACCCTTCTCATCTGAAGAGCTCTCATAGTAGCTGTATGGACTGGATGCATTTCAGCTTTACCTCTCTGAGGAGAGGGGAACCAAGTAACCCTCCTCAAGGCAAACACTCAACTTTTCTGTGTGGCTCAGTGCTGGAGGTTGGTGCCAATGCTGAGAATGACACAGAGCAGTCCAAGTTGACCAACACAGAGGCACCCTGGAGAAGGCTTGCTGACCTTATCAAATAGAAAAGACTGAATTCTCAACTTCAGCTCTGTATCTCTTCCTCTCCCAGCTTTAAGAGAGCAACAGATGCTGTGTTAAAGGTGTAACCTGTTTTTCTCCAGGACAGTAAAGACATCCAAATAGCGGATGGGGTTGGGGGAAAGTATAAAAGTCCACAAGGATGAAAGGCAGCATTAGAAGAAGTCACTGAAACACAAAGATGAACTCCCATTCCTCTTGTAATACAAGTATGCAGTGAACATATGCTCACACGGCACATCTTGAAGCCACAAGGCAAAGGAGGTGATAAGCTGCAAGAAAAAAGAAGGAAAAAAAAAAAAAGCAGCAACCACTTTAGATGGAGAGACGTGATGTATCCTGTGAGGCTAGAATGTCCCAAATTTCAAACGCAACTCAAAAGGAAGGTAGCAGTTTTCAGAAATCAAACTATACACAAGATACATGAGCCTTGCAGTTTCAGCACAGCAAAACCACGGAGCTTTCAGAAGCAGCACTGGCCTGCAGGCCTGTGAACAGCAGAGTTGAGAAGCCAATGAAAAGGGCAGGGGAGCTGATTTGGGTTAACTAGGTGTTTCATTTGTTAGGGTTAATCTTCTACTTTTGGGTGACTCTACAGAGGCTTTGCTGGCACAAGGAATAGGGTGGTTTGAGAGTGCTGCTGTTCGCAGCCATGCTGGTTTAGGCTAGCTTAGTTAACGGGAAGTAACGTGCAGTTTCATGGCAGCAGATTTTTCGTAGTTTAGAAAGATCACAGCTTGGTTACTGTAAGCCTACTGTGCGTTTAGTTAACTTGGGAAACAAATTATTTACACCAGGTCTAAATTTGTGATGAATTAGACCACACTGATGGAATGGGGTGAACCCTGCACCCTGACATCCTGTAGCAGCATCTGGCTAAGGGGAAGTATCCACCACATCTGAGAAGCTAGTCATTGGGTCTGCCCCATCTGCGGTTAGGCAAAGGGTCTGAGAAACCATCTGACAGTCTTTCCTGGATTCCAGATGTCTCACGGAGGATTCTGAGTCAAGGTCATATGCAAGAAGATTTATTAGTGGGGTCTGCAGCTGGTGGCATACTTTGGCTCTGACAATGACAGATACTTTTGGCAGAAAAGAACAAACACAACAGGGGAAAGACAGAAGAAAGAAGGGAACAGGAAAACTCTCCCATAGCCAGCCAGGAAGAGCAGTGATGAGGATCCCAGACAAGTATTCTCCTCTGAGAGAGTCTCTTCAGCATAGCAAGTGGGCATGATGAAGAGGATGACAGTTTTTCTTGTGCATCTCCTTGAGTACTATATACTTTTCCTCAGGACCCGCTCAATCTCCCTGCTGCCTATTCCGGCTTGGGACACTATTAACACCAGTTGGAACGTGCTGTTTCAGCATCACTGGAGCGTGCTGGTTGGCTCTCAAGTCTCAGTGCACAGGTATAACCAAGTAGCATTTATTTAGAATTTAAAGGACTACTATATTTTTTTTGCCCTATGTTTAGTCTTCTCTAGTATAAACCAACACCCATAAAACAACAAGTGAACAAGGGGAAAAGAGGGACTGTTCTTATGACAGCATCAGTTGCTTCCCACTCCCTGCCATAACACCAGAGTTTACAAGGGGAGGGCATGAAATCGAAGTAACAGCGTGGGACTACAAGGGAAACTGCCACAGAGGCTCTGGACAAACTCGGCTGCAGCAGCTTGCATGAAAGGTTACCCAGCTGCAGAGAGCAGGCCCTCAGGATTACTGATAAGGCATCTCAGGCATTGTGTAACAAAGCAGATGAACAAGACACAAAGGACAAGTTACTGTTAATGCACTAGTTCCATCTCAGCAGCAGAGTTTGTTCAAATATGCAAATTCTATAAAGCAGATAAGATGCAGTTCCTGACTAAGCATCTCCTAGGACTATTTTGCTTATGAATAACACAGTAATCATGAAGCTTTTAACCATGCCAATGCTAAACTAATTTCCTTAATTCTCAAACTAAGAGTCAGTTAACATTTGGAAGATGGTTTCCCCTTATCTCACGGGTGTGTGCCATGCCAATAGGTGATACCACCTGCGTCCTCCACAATACTGCTTCCAAAAAGCCAACATCACCAACTATCACCATGGTACTAAACTTCTTGGAAAAGCTTTCATACAGGGCTTTTCAGGGACCACATGTCTCTCCCTTTACGAGATCCTCAGTGCCCAAGGGAATCTGGTACTACCAAAAGACAGAAGTACAGCAGGAAAAGGTCAGACTGCAGAGATTAGTACTCAAGACTAGCACACATATTTGGGGATAGGCTAAATAAAAAACCAACTATACACTACTAAGTGATACTCTATCACGCCATCTGATGTCCAATATACACATGGTGCATGCTGAAAGACGGCTGGAATTGCAAACAGGTAAAGCACAGGTACACACAGAGGCAAACACCCATATACACACAAAGAGCTTTAAAGCCTAGCTGGAAAAAGAAGGAAAGAATATTTTCTTAAAAGATTTTTTCTCCCAGCATTGCATGGAAACACACTAGGCACGCTGCTCAAACGGGATCTGAATCTTACTGACCTCCAGTTTCCTTCGAGCCTCCTCCTGTTCTTGTTTCTCCCTGGCCATTCTTTGGGCTCTCTCAGCTTCTGCCTTCCTTCGGTCTTCCTGCTCTTTTTCCTTGGCTAGGTTTTCAAAGTTAGCTCGGATGCTGCTTGTTTTATTAGCAACTGTAACATTTAAAAAAATTAAGGTCAAATGTTGGTGTTTAAGGTTCTGTATAAAGGTAGTCTGGACGAGTTTTTGGTACAAATTTCTGCTAGGGTTGCATGTTTTCCTGCTTTTCTGCTCTCTGAGCTCACAGCCCTTTCAGGAAGTCCTTCTATCCCTCCTTCTCCCCTTCAAAGCCCAAACCTCTTGTGCACCACATTTCTCTGATTTAAAAACCTCTGTAACACTTCTCCCTCCTCTCTCTCACCACTCCGCTCCCCTACTCAGTCTGTTCTCCACTCTGATGTTTTTTATTCTCCCTTCCTCAACTCTGATGACCCTCAAGGAAAAACAAGAAAAAAACCCAACAAACCAAAACAACCTCTGAAGGGAGGAGGGAGAGAGTAGCTGAGGTTGTTGGAGACCTGCAAATACAGAAGTCCCCTCTATGATTCTTACTCATCACTACTACATCAACACCAATATCCCGGGCTTTTGAACATTATCCAAAGAAAGGATTTGGGGCCAATGCCCTACCAGCTTCTATTGGCTTGGTCTTCTGGTAAGTTGATGCTGGTTTCTCAATATCCTCAAAAGTTGCTGCATTCTATCAATAAGGAGAAAAGGAGTGCATTAAAAACCAACAATTAATGAAGACATGCAGACAGCTTTGATCTGTGATGTTTTATTGTAATATTGCCCCAAGGCTTTTTTCTTTAAATCAGAAGAATCAAAACTTGACAAATGGAGTAATTCTTTCTGTAAGTCAAACTATGCAAGAATTAATCTTCAAGGAACACTAAAATCCTATTACTTAAAAAAAAAAGTGGTTTATGAACAGATGACTCATCAGAACTAAAAATGAGGCAATGTCCAAAATGTTTATTCTGCAGCAGTTGCTGTTCTAATCCACATCATGCAGGATTTCTACCAAAGTAAAAGCATCCAGTTCCCTTAAAGAAGGTGATATTGTTAAAACAGAGGGAGTATTTTGAGAACAGTATTCAAAATATGAGGGTTTTTTTAAATGAATGGTCTTGACTCCTGAAGCCACAAGTAAAAAACCTCTACAGACTTTCAAACTCTGCTACTTTCTCACTTCTAAATGTCCTACATAAAGCTGAGAGTAAATTTATTCAGGTGATAAATCTCAGTGAGGACTTTTTCATTTTCTAGCTTTTTAAATATAAAAACGGAGAGGCAGAAAGGGGGTATCAGCTGCCCAATCTTTCACTGTTATAGAATATTAAAATTCTTCTAAAGACAAGGTCCCTGATAATCAAAGTGGGCAAAGTTGGGAGATATCAGATACCTATTTTAAGCAGTCCACTCAAAGGACATCCTCAAGATATAAGGCATTAGCTAGCTGTTAGAAGACCTGGCTGAAACTGTGGAATTAACGGATTTTCTCATTCTTTTGTATAAATTTCGCTATTGTTTCATTTCCACGCTTCAGTCTTCCCTACTTAAATATATATATACACCACACACATGTACACGCACACACGTCTGTACAAACTGGCATTAGCTCTGTGTGTCTAAATTTGTTTTTTAAAGATTTAGGAAAGCACAGAACTCTACTGTTAGACTGAGGACGCATCCAGAAATAAAGAGCTGAATGCTACAGATCTAACCTGACTATTCTGCATCCCCTACAGACTATTGAAGTCACGGCTCTTTTAAGCAACTTACCTTATCCATCCGATCTTTCTGTACACCATACTTCCCACCAAATCCTTTCGAATAATCTAAAAGCAGGATAAAAAGGTGAGAGTAGGGAGTTTGTTGCCCCTCCCATCTTTCTGCCAAACGCAAACAGCCATTTCAAATGCAAAGAGCCATTTCAGCTGCATGCAGAGATACAGTGACAGCCGCCAAAGACAATGCAACTGGGGTTTTGATGCAGAAAGGATACATAACTGCAAGAGCCTTCAGGTACACCAGCAGATGACAGATTGTGGGCCACATGCATTCTTTGAGTAAACATTAAGCTGAGGATTGATAAGGTATCAAGCAAGGAATAAGGGATGAGCCCTTCTAATGCATCACTTCTTTAACACAGCCTTTCACAGCACCAATTCTTAGCCCTCTGCAGGAATCGTATAGCCTAAGCCATTTTGCTTTGCTCAAAGGAGTGATATCCAGTCTTCCATGACCACAGAGGTGGGTTTTTTTCCTCTTTAACTTGGTAAATTCTATGAATGGTAGGAAAATATAACAAATTTCTCATTCCAGTGGATTTGGTCGTGATGAACTGATGAACCCTAAAGCCATTGGTAGTAACTCCTGCTCTACACGTGGAAAGGGGCAAATTCCACAAGACAGCACAAGCCTGCAACAACTCACCACCACAGAAACGGGGTGGCCATGCTATTCTGTACCACCCCTTTCACTCTTTCTCTCACCTGATGCTGACTCCAGCACTTGCAATACTCCAAAATCAGTTTAACTCACTAGTGGCATTAACCGTAAAAATAACAAACCAACCCTCACGAGAGTAGCTTTCTGCTCTTTCTAGTGAGTTGAACTCAGAGAAATAAATGTCTGACGAGCACCAGAGCCAGCAGGAGTGTGTGGCTGGAAAAACACCTCTTTCTGGTGGCAGTGAGCTGTAGGAACGTGCTGTTAGACTCTGCAGAAGCACAGGCTTTCCTGTATGTCCCTGGAATACAATTACAATTACACCTTCTCTTCTCAGCCCCAAAATCACTTGGGTGCCCTAGCCACCTATTTTAGTATTTGTACTTGGGCTCTGCTAAGGCACTTCTGACACTCTGGAAGTTTGAATTTGTGTCACTGTAGCACAGAAAAATATTGACCATCAGAATGAACAACCTCATTTTCTTCAGCTTTGTATGTATTTTCAGCCAGAATAAATATACTACACTTACATTTTCCTGATCCAGACTTCTCACTTTAAGATAACGGAAAACCAGGAATTCATGGTTTGTACCCCAACTATTTCACAATGAATAAAGAGAGCATTATAACAGTATTTGCTCACCCAAGACCCACAAACATTCCCTACTTCTTGTTTTAAAGACTACAATAATTTTAAAATGATCTTGCCATAACCCGTTGCTTGTTAATGGTTACATGCATGGCTCTTGTCCAAATACTTTTCTACCAATTTATCCAGGCAAAACTTCACATTTAGACTCTAAAACTGGTAAGCCTGACGTCATTAACATCATACTAATAATACTAGACATACTAATGTCATTATTATCACACTGTATGTATAGCTATTAACTAAATGCATAATGCTGTAGAGCTGTTACTAAACATTGGATATCTGTTTCCTGAATACAGGCTTGCTTTATAGAACATTTTAAGAACAAAATTGCTAGATCATGTTGGAATAGAAGCGCAAGAAAGTGTCTGCACGTTACTAGCATCGATCTACTCGGACAACTATTTAAGACTGTGTGAGAAGTGGCTGCACTGTTAAGAAAGTAACAAGTGAAAACGGTGCCTTGTTGAGATTCATGCTTGGCTAGTTTCTCCTTGTAATCAAACCCCACAGCAGATGGGTCCTGCCTTTCTGTCTGTACACCAAATTTCCCTCCGAAACCACTCTTATAGTCTGAAAAAGCCACATGTAACAAATTAAAATGAAGGGAGGAAAATAAAGAAGTTTAGTCAGAGACACTCAAAATAATTTTTGCAACAATTTCAATTAGCAATAATTTTGGATGGCGAAAAAAAAAAATCTCAATACACTTTTGTAAGAGTAAATTCAAAAGAAGTTTCCCGTTGAGATTAGGAAGAGGTCAACATGATTTATCAGACGTAAGAACACCATTCTGAAGTCACAGAAAAAAGCACTTCTCAACGTTTTTCACACATACTGCATAATGCACTTGCATTTGATCAACACTATGAACACAAACACACACATAGTATGTTTACCAAAACAAAACAACACACGAAAGGATACAAGAGAATAAAACCAGCTCCCTTCATTAGTGCGGTTAATATTGGTACACTAGGGATCTGAGGGGTTAAGATAGGGTCCACAGAGATTATCCTCCAGCTACCCCTACACGGCATTGTTTAAAAGAAGGAATATTCTTCTTGCCACACAGCTTGAGGGAAAAAAAGCTGTCAGCTAAGAGCTATGGCCATTCCCTACTGCTGCCTTAGAACAGCCATTTTAATATATGGTGTTAAATGAGGGCACAAAAAAAAAAAAAAAAGGCTTCCAGTGATCCTTTTGTGACAAATCTGTCGGAGCATCCAACAGAACAATGTTGTGAGGATCACTTTTAATTTCTTTAATTAAAAAAAAAAATAAAAATCAACCTCTAAGTTAAGAGTGGTGACAGGCAGAGGGCTCGGGAGCAACTGAGCAATTGTTATTTTACAGCGTTTCTTCTGGGTACCAGTAGTTCACAGGAATAGGTACCTCATGGGCAATGAGAAAGGGCAGCATTAGATACGAGATTTCCTCTGCGTGAAAATAGGGGTATACATGTCAGAAACCAGAAAAGGGGAATTATTTGTGGAAAGTACAAAGGCATTGCTGATTTGTGGTTTGCACAACTCTACTGAAAAAGGAAAAAATAATCCAGGCTACCTGCAGACCCATAAAGCTTCTCCAGTGAGAACTGATCACTAAGTCTGAAGTGGTAAGTTCAGGGACTCGGTATCGGGTGTGTTAAACCTGCTTTGCAGACACCAGCACAACCAATACACAGCAATCGTTGAAACACAGAAAAAAGGAGACTCATGTCAGGTACTGTAAGGCCGTGGCCAAAGATACCGGGGGAGGAGGGTTCACACAGGGAAGAGAAAAGTCAAAATGAGGGAAGTCAGAAAGAACGGCAAAGAATTGTGAATTGATATACCTTTCTGGGATTCGTGCAGCTGCACCTTCTCCTGATGATCCCAGCCAAGTGCACATTTGTCTTGTCTGTCTGTCTGCACACCAAACTTGCCTCCAAACCCCTTTACATAATCTGTATGCATGAAGTTTCAGAAAACATTATTGCAATTTATGACTGTAAACAGTATTTAATAAAAAAAACAGTAACATGTTCTGGGATAAGCTGCCCTGTCATTAGTGATAATGACTTTCACTCTCTTTGCTGTGCTACCTCACGCAGAGGGAAGGACACCCTTGCAGTAACTCTACAATCACAACGCAAGAAGCGCCACAAATCCAGTGAGGATTACAGCATACAGACTCAACACTATTCTGAGATTCGAAGAACCTGATGTACCTTCCACCTAAAGCCATGTAACACACACATACATACACGCACAATGTAGATACATAAGTATCGGAGGACTTGATAATGCCTCTGAATACCACAGATCTGTGCAATGACACATTTAATTCAATAACATCCGTACGGACATAAGGTCCCTTGGAAATCAGACTGTGAAACTCGGGGACAGTTTACAATGCCCTCCTTTTCATTTAAGGGAAACAAAAATCTGCATACACAAAGGGCAAACACACATTTACCACAGAAAAAAACAACCCCCAAACAAAATATTTTTTCGCAGGTTTAAAAGGCTGATTGGTTTGAACTAATATTTTCAAATAAGATAATAAAAACCTTTCTGTGATTCATGTTTTTCCGTTTTGCCTTGATATTCAAAGCCAACAGCACTTTTGTCCACTTTGTCCTTGTCAACACCATATTTACCACCAAAGCCCTTGGAATAATCTAGGGATAAGAGTGAAGAATTTTATTTGTAAGTGTTCAATAACAAAATATTACCTTGAAAAAAATGCGATAATTAGACCTGCTAACATTACATTACATATCAAAATAAGCACTGACATCCCCAGTTAATCTTCATTCCAGACACTGAAGTCATAAATTCTTCAGAATACATTCTCTCAGGATGGAAAATAAAATAGCATCATATGTAGTTCAACTGCTGGGCAATATCAGCAATTCTGCTACTTGACTCCTTGATAAAATTCTTAAGACACTTACAGCAAAGCGAACTTCAAAAACCATGTCAGCAACAGCCTGGATGCTTTTAAACAAACACCCCCTTCTTGTCTTCAGCATTTCCAGAGTGCAAACATTTATTTGAGATAAACAAAAAACAGATGGCAAAAATGGCAAAATTTTCAATAAAATGGTTGATTTTTGATCAGATATGCCTGGAAACCTGATTAGCAACATGTTATTAACTCTAAACACTATTAACTCTGAGAAATGTTTTAATCTACAAACAGCTGATTCTTTTAGAAATGCTTCTCTGTTGTGGTTAAACTGCTTAATCTACTGCTTTTCAAAAGAAGTTGCAAAAATCCTCCGGACAAGCCTATGTGCCCTGCTTCCAAAGAAGTGGCAGTTGGATCACCACTTAAAATAAGTCAGAACCTATGTTCTTACGTTTCTTTTTCAGGAGTCAAAATTTTCAGCAACATAACTTTTATTCAGTGTTAACTTTCAGCAGGTTAGGAGTGCAACAGATGTAAAAAATTACTATTTTACAACACTGCCTATCATGAATGCCTACCGCATCAGAGCGTGAACCCACCACCACGTGTGTTTACTCACCCTTCTGTGACTCGTGTTTCTCAGTTTTACCCTGGTAATCAAACCCCACTGCACTCTTGTCCACTCTGTCAGCCTGTACGCCGTATTTTCCACCAAAACCGCTTGAGTAGTCTGCATTGAGAGTAAAGCACAATTGAAATAAAATGAAGAAGCTTTTAATGGGAACATCATCTCCTAGCAATTGGGGGTGGGGGGAGAGTTATTTCAGAACTGAAATATTACTCTTTAGCACACAAAATTAAGTTTAAAATTAAACACTGAAAATAAGATGGGCAACAGTCCTATAGTCTATGATGGTTCCCCTTAAATCTCCTCCCTATTTCCAAGAGGGTACAATGCAGCAAAGAACAACTCTCGGTCTTTTTAAAATGTCCTTGAGCCTCACTTCTAAAAGAAAAATAAGACTCACAATGACAAGTTATTTCCTTGTCCTAAAACCTCATTAACTCATGAAATTGCTTTGAAATTCGGGGGGTTTGCACCTTCTTTTCCACCCAACTCCCTCAACTTTTGATTCATTGAGAATATCACGTGGAGGCCTCACTAAACGACATCTTTTACAAACCGTAGCAGAACAGAGGTCTGTTTATTATTTCTAAATACATGTGTCTACAGAGGCGACCAGCTCGCCACTTTACCTTTTTGGGAGGCATGCTTCTCAGTTTTCCCCTGATACTCAAACCCAACAGCTGACTGGAAAAGAAATAAAATGGCATGTGTGACAAAGAGCTAGATATTTGTAGAAATCCCGCATGCGCTTCCGCGGACAAACAGCACAGCGAGTTCCTGCGTCTTTCCATACTGCTCTGACCTTCTTGATTGGGAGCATAAATACCTACTTAACTTACAGGCCATATTCATTTACATAATAATTTAGTACATGTATTCATGGCACGGGTTTTTGCCATCCCTTGCCAAAGCAAACTGCACTAGCAACATACGCGAGCCTTGCCAGGTTCAGCAATTCAGTACAACAGGAATTCAGCATTTCCATGCAGGGGTTGTTACACTGTCTTGGAACGGGACGCCAGTTATCCTGCCCAGTAGCTCATGTTGCGATACGGGACAAGCCATCCCCAAAGCCCTCCTTCTGTAGCATTCATGCTGATTTTATCCTCAGAGAACACAGCCTGGGTAAAAGACATTTTAACATATCTTTTCAGTTTTCTTTTCAACTCACCTCAATTTCCCATAAGGGCTTTTTTCCATTTTGCTTTAAACAGAAATTTATGTCTACAACAGTCAGTGTTAGTTCACTGCTAAACTTCAAACACAGCAGGAAGAACAGACCACACCAGAATTTTAAGGAATTGGCATGTTTCAGCTGTACGTACAAAATGAGAAACTTTACTACTGTGAGTAGCTGCAGTACGAGATAGAAATTGCTTACCTGGTCAACTCTATCGGTTTGTACTCCAAACTTGCCACCAAACCCTTTCACCGAATCCACTTGGGAGCAATGCTTAGAAAGTTTGGATTGATACTCATGTCCAACAGCTGACTAAAAGAAATTGGAAAGTTCAGAAACAGCCAGAAGTTCTACACGGCTCTGTACGTAAGAGAAAACACTGCACCGAGTAACCTGAGGGTAAGGTTTGTTACAAACACACACCACTGACACTCTTCCTGTTGAGACCAACTTCCCTGGAAATCACTCCAGAACTCTCTACAAGACTGCCGCCACGCTACCAACACAGCCTAGGCAAGGGAAGTGCCAGGAAAGAGGCTGACACAATGACTGTATTTTATGAAGACTGCTTTATGATCTAGATTCTTGCTCCAAAAAGCACAGGAATTAAAACAAGAAAGACACAGATGGAGTCTTGATGGCGCTCATGCAGAATTCAAGGATTAGTTCCAGATAAAATACACAGCCTTGTATTTAGGCACACAGCTACAGATCTGTTCTAGCGGATATTAGTTTGCAACCAAATCCAACTACAGCTAGGGTTTCCATCAACATTCTTTCAGGGAGGCAGCACGATCTCCTGCCTAAATCAAAATTAGGAACATTTTCTCTACACTTTCTCCTCACATGCAAAACGGCATGGCAATGTGAAGCGGTGGATCCACGTCAAGGCAGAGCTCTCCGTGCCAAAGGCAGCCCAGCCCCGCAGTCTCCCACTTGAGCCAGGCCCTAGCCCTGGAGCAGGACACGGCAAGCCGAGGCGCAGTTACATCGTGCTGTCACTGCCTTCAGGCAAGACACAAGGATATGTAATTACACGCCTGAAAGAACACCCAGACAGTGTTTGCTAGTGTTACACTGATCTAGTGCTAGGACACCCTTCTAGATCCTGGAATCGATGCTAGAGCCTAGCACCTTGGAGGGTGCTACATAACATAGCAAAAACGTTTCTTTCTTGTCCAGTGCCAAAACCGAGTGCTGGCCGGAACAACTTGCAATGTGACGCTTTAATCTGCCACTTGAGTGTGTTGCTCAAACGCACACAATTCCTGTCAGTGCCCTGGTTTGAGCTAGAACGGTAAGATCACTGACGAGAGAATTGGTTCTGTTCTAGCTCAAACCAGGACACAGAGGCAGGAAGACCCTGTAACCTGCTGCACACGGCCATGTCCAGATGGAGAGGCTGCACCCTGGGACAAGCACCTCTCCTGACCACCACGTGCTCTGCGTAGCACCACGACCTGCAGCACCGCCGGTCCCAACACCAGGCTCCGTGCACGGGGCAGTCAGCAGCTGCAGCAGAGCGCCCTCCGAGCAGCTACCCCGAGCTCCGACCTTGGACACTGCTCACCTGGTGCCAGCAGCAGACAGCTGGACCAAGGTGAATTCATTTGAGGACACAAGGTGTCTAGAAACTGCAACGAACTTCACTTTTACTGTATTTGCCTTTGGGTTTTGGTTGGTTTTTTTCTTTTTATACAGGTGCTGGGGGGAACATTTCCAGCACTTAGGAAAGTAAAACATTATGTTGCACATAATGGTTGAAGTAATTGCCAGGTACCAGAACAAGGATGTCAATAATAGGACATTACCTTAACTTATGAGCAACATAAAAGCTCCTTTCTTTTCCTGACTGCAACAGTCACACTCTTGTTCATTTCGCAGGTGTCCTCTAGTAGAATAACTGTTAAATGTGACCGAAAAGGCTCCCACCTCCCCTTCTTCTTCACATTACCCACTACATTTACAGAAGACAGGAAGCTCTGAAAATTCTAGGTTTTATGTCGTTTTACATGATTCCTCTTCTGTTATACCAAGTGAGGTAGGTAAGGTTTAAGCATGTTGTTTTCTTTTTGTTTCACCAGAATTTTCTGCAGTTCACTAAACACCAAGCATGACAACATACCCCTTTTTAGAAAAGGCTTAGAAAAAGATTTTTCTTGGAAATCTGTGTTACAGAGTAAATCACCCTCATAATTCCTCAGCACAATACTCTGCCACATCTTCAATTAGATATGGAGGTCTGGCATATAGAACGATGTAACTGTTCATTTTAAGTCAGCATCAAGGCTTTCTCCTAAATGCAGCAAAAACCTGTACCATGACAACGCTGCAGTAACTCTCATTTACTTCACGTGAGTCAAGCCTTAACACCAGACACCTGCACAGAGCCACAGATACCTATGACTGAGAGCTCTCCTTCACAAGATTTTACAACTACAGTGACAAGGAAGAAAGCTTTATTAAAAAAAGAAATTCTGACCGCCTCCTGTCACCAGTATCACTCAGATGGGCAGGGCCACCACATTTTTCCTGATGATTAACCCTGGCCTACAGGAAACAGTACTCAGTTCTGTTTCCTCCTTTTTTCCCATGGACACAGGTAAGGGACAAACTGCTGACACCAGGGCTACGCAGCTGCCGACAGGCCTAACGGCTGAATCTGCTCAGCAATTCCTTTCCCAGATTCAAAGGTTAGGTTAGCCTATTTCAAAGGCCCACGGAGAACTACATAGCAATTTACTCTGGAATAAGGGAATCCAGCAAAAACTTAAGGCTGCCAAACGACCAGAAACCCAGAAAGTAAATAAAGTAAAAAAACAAACCCACTCTTATTCAGGAAAATAGTCTGGCTCTTATTTTACCAGAGTACATGCAGGAAACTAGTCAGAAATTGGTATCCTGTCTAATTATCATATGGTTGATGGCATTACCTTAAGAATTATCATTTCTTTTGTTAATAGTGCCCTTACGTGAAACATTACCACCTGAGTGAAGTACAATGATTTTTTAAATACTTGCATTACTTGCCACTGTTCACAGTTTACCACTGTTCAAGAGAGCTGCCCTCTCATTTAAAAGCAGCAGCACACCCTTTTCTTCATTCTTTGGCAAACTCCGTATACATACAAGAGCTGGCACAGCACCAAATTAAAAAAAAATACTAGATTTCTTCATGCAAAAAGTACTTTGTTAGTTCAGAAATACACATTTAGAAACTTGAATATTGTCTCCAGGGGAATCCACTCAGAACATAAGCAGGCAGACTTGCTCTAAAGACAGAGCAAGCATCAAACAAAACCATGTGGGGCCATTGCATATCCCAGAAGTTCTCCTTATCATTCAGAGTCCTAATTTGCCACCTGAAATACTTGTTCCTGATTCTTCAGGTGCTTTAGTTCAGTTTTTTCTGTACAAGCATCTTGACTTAATTGGGGAATGGAGCATGCTGGCCTGACAGTTTTGGATAGTAGTGGTTACAAGTGTCCTTGCTAGAGCACTGTAAGAGTGATCCTTCTGCCATCAAAATGAGCCACTGCTGTATATAGCTTATGCCACAATCTGAACTTCTACATCTCCAACCCAGCAAAGTTGGAACAAACCTTGCACCTTCAACAAGCTTAACTTGCATATACAGTTGGGCTGGCCACAGGCAAGGCAAGGCTTATATCATCATCCCAGGGAAGCATTCATACTTACTTTATCCATGCGATCTTGTTCCACGCCGAACTTCCCTCCATAGCCATGGGAAGCTTTTGGTCCTGTTTCAAGCTCCTTCTCTTTGAGGTTCTGGTGTTCTTGGAATACATTCTCTCTCAGCTGATGAATACTTTAAAGACAGATAATTAAGCAGCAAGTTTTACCAAGAAAGTTTCAGAAGATAACTTCAAAAAGATGTAAAATAAAAAATGATAAAAATATAATCTTAATTAAAAGTTGGCTGAATGACTTGTGTTTTTCAAGCCCTTCTCATTTTTTCAGTGCACAAAGCACTTCACCTTATTCTGAGAAACAGAATTTATTCCACTGCAAAACACCGTCAAGAAGAAAGTGCTGATTTTAAGACTAACACACGGAAGGGTATTTTGCTACTTGAATAATCAACTACCCAGAATTTATATGTGCCTGAAACACATTTTCTTCTCATGTCCTAACTGAAGTTCTTTCCAATGCTTTTTATTTAAATGGCAACTTTTCAGAACAGGGATCATCTCTTATCACACAGTCCCTATAGTAACGGGACTCTAATTCTAACTGAGCATTCTGGACACAACTGTAACGCAAACCAAGGATGCGAGGAGACACGCAGCTCCTCTTCCCAAGTGTTCCTTTGCGATATGCAGGAATTAACTTACGGTAGTGCAGGGTACGTAGGAGAAGGATAACCCAAGATGGTAATCTGGACCTTAAAACACCTCCCACCTGAGTTTAAAGCTTCCTCAGGCATAACTCAGCCAGCAGGCGTCCCCACTGCACTCCAAACAGGGAAGAGTGCAACTGAAGTAAGCCACACAGTCCAGTCTCTCTCCATTTGCAACACTGATGACATCTATCCTTAGCTTTATACCATGAGGGTTGATGCCCGAGAAATACACATGCAAAACCAAAACCAACACCACAATCACAGATTTCCTAAAATTAAGTCTTAGACCCTTTTCATAAGAAATATAAGATTCAGAAGATGGATCATTTCTGACTCACATAGCCCTCCGTGATGCATTCATCTGCTTTTCTGCCAGAAGGCTCAATTTGTTACTTTGCCAGAATTGTTATAAGTTTGGTAGCAGTTTTCTAAACAAAGTCTAAGAATTAAGGGACCAAATGTATCATTAAAGTACCAAACTGGAGCTGGTCAGATCACCCAATACGAACTTCCCCTGGCAGTACTGGCTCTTGCACCAAAGCGGAACAAAGAAACAAACTTTCCAGACACAAAGAAGGAGGAAAAAATAACACTTCCAGTTCCAAAGAAAGATTTAAGCATCCCTACACCATAGTTCTGATCTTAATTTCAGATCTAGGGATACTGACATATTTGAAAGACCTGCAATCTGGCAAATAATCTTCTACAGAGACTCTTATCTTAATTATCAAGATACAAGTAACCGAGTACGTGAGTTGATTAAAAGTCGCCTGGGATTGTGACTATTAATAAATTTAAAAAGAGAACTGCTTTACTTGATGTGCTCTTGATGGCCGGATCCTTTCACAGTTTTAGCCCCCCAGCGCTGTTCTTTCTCACTCACATCGTTCTGTGAAGGACACACATAAAAAGAGTTAAAAACCCAAAGACTGCACTAGTTATCTGCACTTTAGAGTTCACAGCAAAAGCTTTCAGCTGTCAGCGAGATCAGAAAAGTTAGAAAAGCAGCTACTACCAGCTTCACTTCTCTTCTGCCGTGAGCCCTGTGCTTTGTTCCCTGCTGAAACGCAGAGAGCACACATTCAGCCCCAAGAGGCTGCTGCTTCTTCTTGACACAAGTCTCCTCCGTACAGACCTCCCTGCAGCACCCAGCCAAGACAAGGTAGTTCTGTTAATCACTCACAGGCACAAAACGCTCATTCTCCCTCCTTTCAGGAATACGCTCCTATCAGTTTACTTTGCTGAGACATAGCCCGTGTTCCAAAGAATTACTCTTTAATGCGTTACGTTACACACCCTGCTGAGTCAGTAAAATTCAAAAGCCATACCACAAAATCAGGATCCGTCTCCCAGTCATCGGCTCCATCATCCTGATGGACAGAGATGGTGTGGCCTGCAGTAGCCTTCCACATCTGCAACGCCATCAGAAGAAGCATTGTCACAGTCCGGTCACATGTCAACTCATTTTATACCACATATAAGCTGACGGAGATGCAATCCAAAATTCCCAATAAAGTACGTTATTTAACCACATAAACAAAAGCTGTATTTGTAGTGCAAGCAGATTTGGCCATTGGCTCTCAGGCTGTCTCCTCCAGCTGGTTTGAAAACCCCTTTCAGTTTTCCCATTTGCACTGCAAAAAGGTTGGGAGCAATCAATAATTTCAAAGAGAACAACAAAGTCTTTCCTTGCCCAAATTAATAAGTGTCTTTTGTTCATTCACTGCACCGAAAGACTTCTCTTCAAACAGCAACCAACATCCACTTCCCAAGACTGTTGCTAATTCTAGATCCAATGCACATATTTAAGACATAGGAATAGTTGGTTTTTTCCCAGCCACTACTAACGATGAGCATAATACTGTTTATTAGGCAGTATAATGTTTCCTCTGTTGTGTAACGAGTTTCAGCATCATGAAAGAAATCCAAACGACTGTAAGAATTTGCATGCAATCTAGACATTAGTCCACCTGCCTGCAACAACAGCACACAAGAGCTGCCACATTTCTCAGATAATCCCTTGTGAAACACGTACACAAACCCAAGTGTCTTGTCTGACTTTCAGAAGGAACAGAGGGCGAGTGCTGGAGTACTGACAGCAGGAAGCAAAACTCGTAAAAAGGTAAGCAATAACATCGAGAAACAACATTCAGCACTTTTAAGCGGCTAATGATTTTGGGTATCTCCGTTTCTGGAAACGTTATACCCTGTGGAGTATCAAGTTGGACACTTCTAATTAACACTTTGGAACGTGACTAGCGAGCAGAATACCTGACCTGCCTGCTGCTGGCGGCTGTATTTTATACCCTTTATTCTAGGTAAATCAAAACAAATAAATTCTAAAAAGTAAACCAAAAAAAAAAAAAACCCAACTGACAAAAAAAGCCCTCTGTTCTCCCAGCTTTTTCAGGTACATGAGTCAGAGGAAGGATTTCTTTTCTTCACCACTAGAGTTCACTTCTTTAACATACCATCATTCTGTCCACTTACCTTTATCTTTCTAATTAAGAATAAATTAATTGTGGACTATTTCATTCACACTAGCATAATCCAGCAGATGGAATGAAAATTCCTTTTTAAATGAGTAACTCCTAACCTGCAGGTAAAGTGCACAGAGGAAAAAGCCTTCACTTGCTCTGCAGCCTGACAACAAGCTGATGAGCCGCTTTACGGAGCACTTCAGAAATTTCAGGACTGGTAACAAGAACGAAAGCAACTGAAAAACTGATTGTCAAACACCAAGGTAGCAAAGTGGCCTCAAAGGAGGGTGTAAGAGCAGAGCAGATGACATCCTGACAGAGTAGTAGTGCGTTTCCCCTGCTGCTTCTTCAGGTCTCCCACGAGCCTAGACATTTACAGTAAAACCTGTTGGAAAGTGTAACCAAACCAGCTCAATTACGAAACTCAACGTGGGGCCCACGTTCTAACTCTGTAACCAAGCACAAACCTACAGTCACTCCGAAGAGGGACAGCTTGCATCCCTCCCTCTGCGCAGGTAGTTTAGAAATGGAATTCAGGTGACAAGAGCTTAAGTGCAGGTACTTATGCACATGGTTACTCTATACATTTCATATAAACCACAGCTTTTTCCCCTAGTACTTGGTTCATGCATCCTTGATTCTTTTGCTTTGTGCATTAAGCTGTACTTGGGCATTTAAAAGAAGAAAAGCTAGATCCTTAGCCTAGATTTCTTTGCTTCCTCCTCAAACTCTCACAAACAATAACGAAGGAAAGAAGGATTTCACACGCACACCCTTACAAAATCCAGAATCCTCCACATTTCTTCCTAAATTATGCACATAAACGCCAACATTTTTCCCCACCTCAACCCTTCATTCTATAAAGCAAATGACAAAAGGGAGCAAAGCAGCCTAGTGACAAGGGATCCCAGTCAAGACCTCCGACTGCTGGCGGGGAGCTTACAGGGATAAGCCTGGTTTTCACAGCAGCTTGCTATTCTAGCATCTCTTCCAAAGTGGAATGTGGGGAAATATGATCTATTTATGAGTCACTGACTCACATGGTCAAATTTCTGAAGGAAAAGGAAAACACTACAGTTCAAATGCAAACCGAGGCTAAATATACGCCTTGAATTTAGCTGGCCATTTCTGCTCTTCACCACTGTTATGACTAATCAGCGGTCACATCATCCCACCCAGCACCTTTAGCGGCACCTTTGGGAACTTCCCTCTTCCCCAGGGCCTACTGATGAACTCCTGAAAGGAACAAAGGGAGATGCCAACTCTTTTAAGCCCAGACGTAGCACTGCAGGTGAAGAGAAAGAAGCAGCAGCTCCAGGCCTACGCCAAGGCTCGACGGGGGCACCGTGCGCCCATCCTGGCCCGGCTGCCTGCTGGGGACCCACGGTCCGCCCCGGCCGCTCGCCGTCGGAGGAGAAAAGGGCATTCGGGGAGGCTCCTCTCCCCTCTGAGGGCGCGATGATCACCTCAGGCCCCACCTTGGCAGGCCATGGCGCGGCTAAACCCCCTCTTCCCCTCATCGCCGCTGCCTTCCCCAAGCCCCCCGAAAGCCCCACAGTAGATGCCTTTTCTTCTTCCAAGTTACCAGCTCTGGCACCTTTGAGCTATGGGCTGCTTTATAGAGTTTAAAAATAATAATAATTTAA